TTATTTAAATATTATTTCATTTCATACCAATCGTTGTCTTGATAAAATAACAAAGATAAGACAATAAAAGATTTAATAATTATACAAAATCCTATGAAAGCAAAAAAACAGAAGAAAATTTATATTCTGTCTTATTTTCTTAAATCCATTTTTATTTACTATAAAAATCATATTAAAAATTTTATTCTATGGAAAACATTCAATACGTTTTTGGAGTCTAGATATTCAAACTAATAGAAAGTTCATCAAAATTTTAGAATGGAATTTTACCATCTGAGAAAGATTACGTCATGTTTTATAAAATTCAGTTATTTTTTCAAATGAATCTCATTTGATCAAAAAAACTCAAAATCAATATAAAATGAATATTACTTTGTTACATCTTTAGTCATCAATTCATAATATTTATTTTGAAGAATATTTCATAATACTTGTAATTTATCATTTCTAAAAATTATTTTCATTTGTAAATAAATAACACGATCAAAAATATCTTACAAGATATCTTTTGAACTATTTATGATTATTTTCTTCATTAGTCATTTAATTATATTAGAGAATATATATATATAAGTACAATAGATTAATTAGTTTTATATTTCAAAATATTTTTCGAAATTTTCAATTATTAAAAAATTCCATTTGTTAATAACACATAAACAATATCAAAATAAAACAAACATTTTTTCTTTAATTCAATTAAAATTTTCATTTTAGATATATTTATTTCAATAAATTAAACTGAAGTATACCGATGATTTCATAAAGGAAAAGATTTTTTTATAAGTTACATTTTTAAGCATATCGACATCAATTTTTTTAAAAGTATTCATAGAACAATTGAGATTATTAAAATATTCTTTAATAATTAATATTGATTGATTTTCCTATTAATTCTTTTTAATTAATAATTGTTTATTAAATGTTTGGTGGTCAAGTATTAATATTATTTCAATACGATAATAAATAATTAATACATCTGAACATCATACAGAGATAAATATGATAATCGAATAAATTGTTTAATAAATAAAAGTAATAGAAAATCATATTTATATGTAAATGTATTTATTGACAAACGAATAAATCATTTTCAACTTATCTATGATATATAAAATCAAATAAATAATGTACAAATATAAGATTATTCAAATAAAAATAAAAATTGATAATTGATAATTATTAATATTCGAATATTCAATGTATAATTCATGATAATATATTAATATTGATGATGATCATTATGCTTCTTTTGTATAATCAAACATATTAATAACAGGGTGTGGTTCTATATGTGCTGTGTTGTAACGCATTCATCCACACACACCTCACAAACACCCACACCCATACGTATACGCACACCCCAAACTCATACCCACACCAAACCCCTACCCGCACCAACACTGACAGCCAGCACATAAGGAAGCCTTTCGGAATGTACATGTCTCGATCCAGTATCGTAGATAAACAACTGGCATCTGTTGTTAGTTTTTAACATTAATTTCAATAATTCCTAAAGACGGCGATATTTGCATCAGTTCTGAAAAAGTATGTCTCCTTTTTCTTTTCGTCTTGAATCTCCTCCAGTCAATTTGTGGTCGACAATCATTCATCTACTCTATTATAGTTATAATCAATCTAGAACTATGTAGAAGTGGGTAAAGTAGAGTTGAGCGAAATGTATACAAATTCTCATTTGTCTTTGTATTTCAAATAAGTAATCACTACATATTGTTTGATATTTTTCTACTATAAATTTTGAAGGACAAATTACATAGATAGAATTTGAGAATCAATTGTGTAATGTTAGTGGAATATTGCCAAATATTTGAAAAGTTTTACTCATTCTCTTGCGAAAAGTATTTATCATCAGATAGTAATTTTCGGTCATTTATTCTTTTTTTTTACTGTTATTAAAAATCGATAATGACTGAAAAGATTTTTTAGGCAGTTAGTGTGAAAAGAATATGTAGAAACTTGGTAAATACCAATCGTCATAGTTATGATTTATTGAGTGGAAAAGGGAAACAAAACCTATTTTACTATTTCTCTTCCCTCTAATTAATTATGAATAAAGACATTAATGTGCATGCATATAACATTATGACGACCTTGAGATCAATATCTTTCCTATGCAAAAGAGGAGTAAACATGAAAAACAAAAATACAGAGAGGAAGTGAGAGTATACGCGGTTCTCATGTATATATATATATATATATATACATGTGTATATAAATATTCGTAAAGAACAATCCAAGATTTTTCATCTATACTTCGAAACTAACAAACATAAATTATGAAAATCTTTCAATTATTCTTGGCTCTTCTACTTTTGACTGCAACATTCTATGAAAGTGTCAACTCACAAAATATAAATTTAACACCATGTCTTACTGGAGATTGGACTGCATGTGGTATTGCTATTGGTACGGTCATTTACAAAAAGTTTAATTCATGGAGTGATATTGACACAAAGCCAGCTTTTGGTACAATATGTAATTCACAATTTAAAGGTGGTTGGTATCGCTGGCAATGGACATGGAGTGGTAAATTCTGGTGTCCATCTTTAAGTGCTACTATTACAGGTGAAAGTACACACTGGAAAAGTCGAGGTGGAGCCATCGAACATGCTATCCAAGACTATGTTACAAAAATGACATCAGCTGGCTTACTCAAACCAGAACAGCTGAGTGGATAAAGCATCTCAATGACACTTGTATTTTCGTGTGTTGCTTCTGTTACCAAGTACTACACATTTTTCTTGTTTTAAATTTTTTTCCTAAAGCTTCTGCTTTTGATTTTTCATTCTTTTGATTGCTACTTATATTCAAGATTCTTGATTTTTTTTGTTATCTCTGATAATCGGCGTGCATCTGTACGTATGGAGATGGTTTGGGTGTCTATATGTGTTCGGAGCATAGATCTGAATCTGCTTCTTACTCTAAATATATTTTTCGACAACAACAAGACTGGCGCGCACGTCGACATTACACTGTTAATTGAAAAGAAATGTTAAAAAGTAGAAGTAATTTAATACTAAGTTTCGTTGAAAAACGGAAGATTGGAAGTTGATGAGAAAGATTTGTAATATGTAATTTAATTTGATCAAAACTAATATTTTCACTTTGAAATGAAAAAATGTGTCAAATTAAATAATATCAGAAATTTTTAAAGTGTTTCTATATAAGATAAACGACAAAGTTGTCGAAGATATGATAAATGTATTTTATGATGATCAATAGTACATTTACTAATTTTATTGCATGCGAACGAAACATGGTATGATAAAATGTGTTTATATTATGAAAACAATCAATAGACATAATAATGAACGATGATAGCTTAGATAATGAAGATAAATGTGGAAGAACATTATTGATGTACTTTGATTTGATATTTTTACGAATAAATATGTCAAATGCAAAACATTGTAATAGAATGTGAAATAACGAAAATATAGAAAAATAAATAAATAGATTTGTTTTATTGTTGAAATAAATTTAATTTCGATAAAAAAAGAATATATTTATAGAAAGATCAAAAGTATTTTTGAACATTGATGTAATATTGAATTATTAATACGCTTATAATATCGAACATTTCATAAATAACTTCGTTTAGAAAATTTTCAAAATAGGTAAACATATTTTGTAGTTTACTGATAGATAAATATATTCATAGTACATATCAATAGCGTTACGTGATGGTCTACATGTTCATTTGTTTCGAAGCATATCTAGAAAAAAACATTATTGCAAATTCATGGAGTGTCTATGTAACTAAAGCAATAATCATGATTATTTATTAGATGAGGAACAATGAAAGAATAAGCATTGATTATCAGTTTTTGATTCGTCAAACTTTTAGTTTTTGAATTAGTGTATTTATTGCGGAAAACAAAACTTAAAACAAACATAATACCATTATATCATTAAAAACCTCATAAGGTAATACTCAAAAGAATAGATGACATGCGATTGATTCAATGATGTTTTTCTGATCAATAAATACCAAGAAAAACACAGAATATCAAAATAAAGGTCGCTATACCGCCAAAAATTAGCATATTGCGAGCTTTGTCAACACTAATTTTGTTCCACTAAACAGCTATTGCTTGACACATATCATACCAACATGAATATTGTTCATTGATTTAAAATTTAAACAATGAGTAGTTCTCGAAATTCATCATTGCTATATATTTGTCTTTATCTTCATACTGGTGCAATGTGTTCCACTCAAGTAGGTTAAAAATTATTCAACATTACTCATTTCAACAACTTTGGTACTGAAAACTATTTCAGCTGGGTTTTTACTTGTCAAAGTTGACTTAATATGTATGAGGATGACATGAAAATCTCAAAATCTTTAAAACAAATTTCTCTGAAATCTAAGATTGTTCAACTGTTTATGGCTCTTTCTTTCAGAGTTATGATCACAACAACATGATTTTAAAACGCTTTGGTGTTACATTTCACTGCTTTCATTGCATTGACAAGTTCCTTTTCTTTTTTTTAGTTCGTTTAAACAATTAACATTTTGTGAAATTTTTTATGAAAGAAAAGTGCATATTTTTAGCCATCAAATTTTTTTTGCACAAAAAATCCGTATAATATAGAAAATGAGAGACAAATGTTCTTTTTAGATTAAATTAGCATGAAACATAATATGCTTGTTGGCTTGAGTAAAAACATGATTATTCTTTGAAGAAATCATTATTCCATCTTCCTCTTTGAACATTACCATCAGCATAATAAAGTTTGCCTTTTCCGTGCTTATTGTCGTTCTTAAAATGTCCCTTATATCGATTTCCATTAGCCCATGTAAAAATACCTCCACCTTCCTTTTTGTCATCGACCCAATCACCCACATAGCAATTTCCATTAGCATAAAAGTAGGTGCCTTTTCCGTTAAAATTCCCATCTCTAAATTGTCCCTCGTATCGTTCGCCATTGGCCAATGTAAAAATACCTTGACCTGTTTTCTTGTCATCAATCCAATCACCTTCATATTTGTTTCCATTGGCATAGTAATATGTGCCTTTTCCATGGAAACTGCCATTCTTAAATTGTCCCTCGTATCTAGCACCATTCGGCCACTTAAAAACACCTTCTCCTTCTTTCTTGTCATTAATCCAGTCGCCTGTATAAATGTTTCCATTGGCATAGTAAAATGTACCTTTTCCGTTGAAATTTCCATTCTTAAATTGTCCCTCGTATCGATCGCCACTTGTCCATGTGAAAATGCCTTCACCTGTTTTCTGGTCATCTATCCAGTCTCCTGTGTACTTCTCTCCACTAGCATAGTAATATGTACCTCGACCATGCTTTTGTTCGTTCTGACATTCTCCTTCATATCTGTCTCCATTTTTACAAGTCCAAGTTTGAACTGTTGAAGAATTATTACTTTTCAATATTTGTCTGCCATCTAAAAGTAAAACTTCACGTCTATAGCTGCAATAAGAAAGCTACTTACCAACGTCAACATTCATCGATGATTTGATCGTCAAATTGCTTAAAGATGTTGTCAAGGGCTGATCATTTTCGTCGGTCAGTTCTCGCAAATGTACTACATTTAATGATTGATGATCAAGTACATCATAAACAACACGAATTCGAGTGCCCAATGGGAGAATAACTTCGTCTTCATTTGAAAAACTACTATATTTTGATATTGATTTTCCATTCTTTGCTTCAATCATGAATAATGTTGATGGTGAGCCAAGAAAATTTTTAACAACATTAACTGCAGGCGAACATGAAGTAAAGCACCACCAAGTAAACTCATCATCTTTCTTGTAGTTCTTGCTAATATCACCCTTGACACCACGCCATAAGTTTTGTGGAACACTAGGTAGTTTATTCAAAGCCGTATCAAATAATTTAAGATAACCATACCATGGTACTAATACTGATCGATCTTCTTTTCTCAGTGCAGCATTCATTACGCGATAGAGACTTTGTTCACCCCACTCCATTGTATATAGGTAGATTGCTGCGGATTCATCCCGAGTTAGATTATGTTCTGAAGGAAAATGGCATTCCGATTTTGCAATTTTAATAAATTCATCTAATTGGTTTATTTTGGTGATAAGAGGATCGAGAGCTTCTCGAAGTTGAAGAAGTGGATGAGTTCGATATCCATAAACAGGTGAAAGTCGTATTGGTTTAAAATCGACATTGGTAAGTCGAAGCATTTTCGTACAATTCACAAAATGTCGGAGTTGATCGTGCCTGTGTTCACTTGAGATGATAAAATATTTTTGCGATTACACACTAAATAAAAATGTGTCGCATGTGTCGTGATTTGCGACACATTGTACGACACATTACAGTACAACACAAGGAGCTCACTGCGACACATTTTCTATTGGTTGTTTTCGAAAGGCAATAATTATTTCAATTTCTTTCTGGTCAATATAATTCCATTGAATTATTTCTATGGTGAAAACTCTAGCAGGTTAGATCCTGAGATCTGTCCTGCTCCGAGTTGATCTGAATTGCATCAGACGACTCCAATGTAGTCCTTTATCGATAAACACTATCGAGAAATAATTTAGAAAAAAAAAGACAATTTTGAAAATTCATCTTTCTTACGTTCAACCACGTTGTTTATATATCGTCATGTCTGCATAATAAAAGGGTGAACGACTAGTTAGCAGACAGAACGTGAAAAATTTCTATGCAACGCATTCTGTGCACGACACAATAATTCACGACACATAAACACGACGCATTTTAATTTAGTGTGTATGATTCTTTCAAAAATCTTTCTTACTTATTTCTTATTGGCAAAGTTCAATTATTATATGTATTTTTTCATACAAAGCTAACAAGAAAGAATAATTGAGTGTGAGTGTAACAATGGCTCAACTCTTAGTAGAAGATTTCATAGCCATATCTACATCCGCATCTAAACTGTATAGACTGGGTCTAACCGGCTGGTAAACCAGTTTCGACTAGTCTATGGGTAGCAGCCCATCTATCTAAAAAGTAATGTTCTCCTGAGATCGCTTGTTTCAGAATAAACCATCGTATACTGCAAAAGTAGGTCCGTAAACGGCTGCGTCCCTGTACACCGTCAACTGTACACCATAATATACTAATATACACCAGTGAATCTTGAAGAATCTCCTATTCGCTTTTTTACCATGGTAACTAGCTACATTTTGGTTCATCCTATGGCTATTGAGAATACTTAAATATTGAAGACTACTTCTTGTATATCCCTGAAGCATAGAAACTCGCAATCTGCTTGGATCACCTTAATGAACTAATCAGATTCACATGGGAAATTAGTCTTTGCTTTTGAATATACTACGAACTTATGTTTGGATTGTTTTTTTGATTTTGTGAAGAATCTTCTATTGACTGAGAAGCCTTTCTTCAGCTCTGATTTATTTATAAGCTTCAAATAGTCAAACATTCTCATGCAACTAATGAAATTTTACAGCGTTTCGTCGACGCTGATCATAAGCTGAAGTTGATATCATGAGTAATCCAACCAGGGCTGCCAAATCTCCTGATTTAGCCAGGAGACTCCTGATTTTTAGACTTTTCTCCTGATGAAAAAATCTCCTGAATCCAGGAGCTGATTTTTATGATTTTCTCCTGGTTTCTCCTGGCCTTTTAGAGGATTTTGTCACGTTTAATTGTAGTGATATTTTGAATCAATAAAACAAAGAAAAAGAGAACTATCACACTATTTCATAGATGCAATAGAAAATAAGAAAACATTGTAAGTTTCGCACCAGAAAATTAAAAATATGGAGTAAGCCAATTTTTCTGATGGCATCTGGATGAAACAAAGTTAGAATTTCTCATTTCGAACTCGTATTTTGTAATGCATGATGCTGATAGAGATAGGAAATATACTTGCGACTTATGTGTCAAAACACGTGCATTTAAGAAAAGATGTCGATAATTATCTTCATTGACTTTCAACTCTTGCAGGAATTGTTTTCCATCTGCTTTGCTAATAAACAAAACAATGCTCAGGCAGCAGTGTTCACGAAAACGAAATTATATTATCAATGCTTTTGCTGTGTTGAAAATGTTTCGTTCTGCGAGAATATTTTTCTATACTCGTCGGTTTCTCGCTTCACTTCTTATAGCAATGGGGAGTCCATTAAGTATTGGTGTTCTCGCATTTGTTCTCGTATTTGCATACATATTCATATAATATATGTAACAACTTTTTATTTTTACGTAACTAACCTACTGTAGCTTCAATCATAATTATACTTTTAATTTGAAGTCGTGTCACGGTTATCTTAAAATCTAAATATAAAATAGGAATATGAATTCCTGAAGTCTTACGATTAGAACTGTAAATCGACGAACTGAGTAGCCACTTTCGGTGAGACAAAACAATTAACAATTTTGAAGATTTTTCGACGCCTGATATCACTTTTCAGCCATGTTTCTGTCTAGTTTTTTTATCAGTGTGTTCTCTCCATTGTTTTCTCTTCTTCCATCCGATAATTTCTCGGAAATAAGAAAACCTTAAAGAAATCGCCCAATAAATTCATTCGCCTTCGTTGGTTGACAAAAAAAGTTGAGTGTTTTCAGCCGCTGTCAAAAGAAAAAAAATCACACTTACACACCGCCAATCTGTGGACTGTTTTATGCTTCTGCTCATGCAAGTGGAAATAAATTTTTTTTCCGGGAACGAAAGTGTAAGGACAAAAATAACCATTTTTTCTGAGAAAGAAAATGTAAGAACAACAGTAACAATTTTTTTCCGAGAAAAAGAATATACGGGCGAGAATAAAAAATTTTTTCTAAGAATAGAAATAATAATCGAGAAAAATGACTCTCATAACATCACTGATAGGTTATGTAAACTTACTCGCTAAAAATGATGAAAGTCTTTAGCAGCTACTAGCTGATATAATTCAGGTTTTTCATGCAGTACTTCGTCACTTTTCACGAAAGAATCCCACTTTAAATTATGGCTGACTCAAGATTGGACATTTAGTCGCACAAAACTAAAAGCTTTCTCAAAAACAGTTTCTAGGTCTGTTTTAATAAATTTTACTATTTGTTACCGATAGCGGCAAAAACTCTTGACGTCTATACAAAAGTTTTTATGTATCGCACGAACCTATCAATTCGATCTAATAGAAAACAATTATTTGAGCGCACCATAGTCTATGGAATCTGAACATAAGATGGGCCTTAGTCTACTGAAGTCATGTGATTCCATCGTCTATGAATAGATCCTATCTAAGCCTTCATTTATCCTATCTACAAGCCTAACTAAGCCTTTAGCTGTCCAATCTAGAGTAGGTTCAAGTATACTCAGATTGTGTGACTCCTCCGTTTATGGTCATGTTACAAAAGTGACAAGAACGGTATAGTTGATAAATTATTGTTCATGTATGCTCATTTTGTTTAGTTACATATTGATGTCTAATTAAACTTCATTTTCTATTTTGTCGGTATATTTTTATGAACCACTGTGAAACGAGTAGTAAAATAAATTCTACACAACTATCTTTTTTTTCGAATATATATCACTTAGACGAAATTTTGTCATCGGTAACTTTGTAGAAGAACACACCAAGTGATTAGACGAACGAAAACTTCAGTTTTCTTTGAGACAAGACGACTTATTCATTTTCTGATTTCAATAAACATCTCCTGATTTTTCTCCTGATTTTTCAGTAAAAGTCTTCTGATAAACTTCTGATTTTTCGCAAAAAACTCCTGATTTTTGAAATTTGGATTTGGCAACCCTGAATCCAACTGAAGTACTGATACTTCAAACTTTATCAATTTAATTCAAAAGTAAACAATTAATTTAAAATACTAAATCCGTGAAATTTTCTTTTCTATTCAAATTATTAATATTATGTTCAGACTGCTTTAGAATTTATTCGCTTTTGGAAGATATAAAATTTGGTTATTGTTATTCACATCTGATGATCTTAATCTAGAATGCGTACACTAATAGAGCCGTGTTTTAACAGAATAAGTGACATCCCTTTAATCATTGACAATATTAAGTTAAAAGGATCTCCTGGGAGTGAATTTTAATTTATCTAGTCATCTTAATGGAATATTGAGAGAGGTATCAGAGAAAAAGAACAGCCAGAATCTAATACATAACTGTTCTAAATATTTATTTACTTTGATAATAAATTATTGTCTTTAGTAATGATAAGAATAAAGATATAATGTCCATAGTTTTTTCATGTGGTCGACAAAGAAAAATTAAAAAGAGGAGGAAAGAAAAGAATGAGAGAAAGACTATTTAGTGTTTTTTTTAAAGGAGAGTAATTTTTTATTTTTTTGAGAAAGACTATAACAATAAGAATCAGATTCACTTATTTTTTTTTATCAAAACCTTTATACATAATAAATTACATTTCATAATTCATTTAAAAAAAAAGGCAATCATCAGTCAAGTGATTCAAAAGTTGTTAATTAATAGTCGTCATATGTTTATCATTGAATAGAAAATACTCTCTGACATTCAAACAGTTTTCAAGTAGTCGGACGAAAAAATATCATTGAAGAGAAGAAGTAAAGAAACATTCTATAATTAAACGATAATTTCTTTTATGCATAAGATTTTTTATTTACTATTTAATCGTAGAAAATCTATTGTATCTGCTGCCATATTTACACAAAGTTTATTGATGTATTCATTTATGAAACTATCGAGCAATCTGCTGAAGTTTCTAAATGTAATCGATAATTAAGAATTATTTCCAAATTAAGAAATGAATCTAAAAATTTTTTCCTTATATAAATTTTACCTCTGACTTATGTGTATATCAATCCGTTCTTGTGAATAGAAATCTCAATCTACTCTCTATTACTGTAATAAATTTGAACTATTTGATCAGAATATATTTGCTTCATTTCAGACATACCAAAATGTTGGTATCTCTTGGTATAAAAACCAATTAGTTGCTTTATCAACAATATTTTATATGCACTACCATAAAAAAACACACAAGTTCTTCTTTAGTGGGTAAAATGATTCTCCATTTCATTGTGCACCGTTAATTTTTCTTTACGTCTAGCGTATTTCTTTTTTTCTCTTTCTGTCATTAAAATAATTGTTAGTGGCGTCGAAGCATACTCAAACGAAGAAGGGTGTGTGTGTGTGTGTGTGTGTGTGGGTGGGTGTGTGTGTGGGTGTGGGTGTGGGTGGGTGTGGGTATGGGGTGTGGGTGTGAGTGTG